GAATTGGCCGCCGGAGACGCCGAGCCCAGCCGTGTTACTCAAGCATCGGGGTCAGGGGTCCGACCTGGATCTTTGCCCGCGGCTGCATATCAGGGGCGGTTGCGTTGTCAAAGGCCTGGTTTGGGCAGTTCGAACTTTCTTGCACCCAGAAGCCCGACGAGGACCCAAGCAGAGGCCCCAAGAGGGCCCAGGAAGCTCCAAAGATGGCATCAAGATGGTCCTAAGAGTGTCCAAATAGGTCCCGTAGGGCCCCTAAGAGGGAGGAGGCGTTTTACGGAGCACCACAGGGGCTAGTACGGGCAACACCTTACTCCCAGACCTCCGATATCTGGATTTCTTTAATACGGGCCCCCAGAGCTCTCGACCCTGTATCTGAGACCACCTATTTTTCCCGACTCGCTTCTTGATTGCCCAGGGTTCAGACACGCCTTCCAGGGGCAGAGTGTGGCGAGACGTGTCAGCGTCGGGTTGTCCAATGCGTCCACCGCCTGCGTGTCCCTAGCAGGCAGGGGCCATGGCGAGGTCTGGGGCAATCTGTCTGGCGCGTCCACTCCGCCTGCGTGTTCTCCCGCCTGGGTGTTCTGCGGATGGCCCGCAGGGCGCCGCGGAGTCTTCGCAGGACGACGCAGGTCTTCCTCTTCCTCCTCCTCCTCCTCCTCCTCCTCCTCATCCCTCCTCCCTCCTCCCTCCTGCCTCCTCCCTCCTCCTCCTCCTCCTCCTCCTCCTCCCTCCTTTTCCTGCTGCTGCTGTTGCTGCTCCTCCTCTCCTCCTCCTCCTCCTCCCTCCTCCTCCTCCTCCTCCTCCTCCTCCTCCTCCTCCTCCCTCCTTCGAAGGACGACACAGGGAACGTCATCTGGACGAATGCGGGGCGGGGGGAGGGATCTGCCCCACTTTGGGACAGCACAACTTCTTACCCAGGGGTCTATACTTACCTATACGACCACCCTGCGGGTGATAAGGAGGTGAGGGGGGAGGGGGAACCAACGTCTCACTCAATCGATCTCGCTATCGATCTCACAATCGATCTCACATTCGATTTCACTATCGATATCACTATCGATCTCGCTATCGATCTCACGATCGATATCACAATCGATCTCACAATCGATCTCACATTCGGTCTCACATTCGGTCTCACTGTCGATCTCACTATCGATCTCACAATCGATCTCACAGTCGATCTCACATTCGGTCTCACATTCGGTCTCACTATCGATCTCACTATCGATGTCACAATCGATCTCACATTCGATCTCACATTCGATCTCACTATCGATCTCGACGAGCAACATCGTCATCATCAACATCATCATCATTATCATCATCGGGACACCATTATCATCACCATCATCAATCATCATCATCGCCATCATAGTCATCATCATCGGGACACCATAATCATCAGCAACATAATCATCATCAGCACCATCACCATCGAGACACCATCATCATCATCATCATCATCGTCATCATCATCATCATCCGTAGCCATTTTGGCTCAAGCTGTTTCTCCGGAGTTTCGCAGGCGCCCACGCGCAGCGGTCAGCGGCGCGCGACTGGGAGATGAGCAATGGCGACGGGGGGCTGCCCGCAGGCGCGATGGCGGGGCGGCCCACCAGGCGTGGCAGTGCGCTGCGCAGGAAGGAGGAGGCCGAGGTAGGCGCCTCGGCGGCCCGCCGTCGGGCGCGGGCGCGGCGCCTCCTCGCCGCCACGGCGGCAGTCGGCAAGGCGGCCAGCGGCGGCCCAGGTTCCTGGCAGGACCGGGAGGCTGCTGCGCGGCCCGCCTTGCGCCGAGCCGCCGCGGGATGCCGCGTCCCAGGCGCAATGCGGCGGCGGCGGAACGCCGCGTGGCACGCGCTGCTGGTCCCTACGGGCGGATTCGCGCGCGCGTCCGCAGCGGGCCTTTCGCGGGCCGCCGCAGGCCCCCGCCTGGGCTGGCTGCCCTCGCTCCCGGAGGCGGCCGCGCTGCCCTTCGGCGACTACGGTGAGGCACCCGACGAGCACTGCCAGGCTCCCGGTGCCATGGACTGCCCAGTGCTGGGCGGCGCTGCCGCCACTGTTGGAGGGCGGCGCCCCCCCATCGTGAGCTTCGCGAACCAGGTCGTCGCCGTGGCAGTGGACGGCAGCGTCCAGACGGAGCTCCTGGGGGGCGAGGATCACCTCGATCGCCTGCGGCGGGTCTCGCGCCAGCGGCTCGAGGCGGCACAGCGGCCCGCGCTCAAGTGTGCCGCTGCCCTGTTGGCCCCGCTGCCCGAGGTGCTCCAGGTACGGATCGTTGGCATGCGATCCCTGCCCGACAGGCTGCGGTTGTGCCAGGCCTCAACTGGGGTCGCCTGGACCTGCGAGAGCAGCCCCTGTCGGCTCGCGGAGGCGCTGGAAGCGGATCTGCGGGACGCGGCGCTCCTGCAGCAGCTGGAGGGCGCAAGGCAGCACAGGGACGCGAACGCCGACGTGGACCTGGGCCGCGGTTTCGGCTCCGACTACCAGCTGGACGTGCTGAGAGGGGGAGTTGCACCATCCCGCGTCGGACCGCACCCAGTACAGGGCTCTGGTCGCGAAGCAGGCCCAGGACATCCGCTCCCTACGAGAAGGCTGGGCTGCTGCGGAGCATGCGCTGCGGGACCAGCTCGCCACGCTCAGGGAGCAGCTGCAGGCGTACATCGCGATGAGCTCGGATGCGCCAGCGGCCGCGGGCGAGCACAACGACGACGCATCCGATGGCTCGCTCTCGTCCCTCGTGGTGGAGGATCGAGGTGATGATTGCGAGTTCTCCGACGGGCTCGATACTTCCGATGTCCTCCTCGATGGGACTGTGGGCCTCAGGGCCTTGCCTCCCCTGCCTGCTCTCACCGACTGCCCGATCGGTTTCAGGGCTCTCACTTGGCTGTGGGACGGCAGGGATCCCACTGACATGAGGCGCATCGCCGACGAGCTGAAGTGGGCGGCTGCGACCCCCGTTCCCGATGAGCTCGAGGGCGACACGGTGGATGTGGTCCCCGAGGGCGCCGCGGCGCCTGGAGTCCACGTGGATGAGATCGAGTTGGACGACCTGCAGGCGATCATACAGCAGCACTGCGCAGCGGGGGGGAGGCTCAGAGTCCCCCGAGGCGCTGGCCCAGCTGCTGCGGGCGACACCACTGCCCCTGCAGGAACTAACGGCGACGGGTTCGGCTACGTCGGCGGCCGATCCGCTCCCTACAGCGGCGATGGCATCGACACAGGCTTCTTGTCTGCAGGCGAGCTTCTTGAGGCGGCGGCCGCCTCGCGGTTGGCCCTCGCAGCGGCCAGCTTCCTCCTCGGGGTCCCACTCGAGGCGCCCCAGGCCTTAGACGCTCAGATGCCCGATGAGGCAATTTGCTTGCCAGTTGCTGCCGCCTGCTCGTGCCGCAGGCGGGTCCAAGGATCACGAATGCCTGCGCCGAGCTGCTGCCTCTGGGGGGGGAGGGGCCCCGTGGCGTAGGCTGTACCCCGTGGGGCTCGGCACACGCCAGGGTTCACTCCCTCCCGCCCCTCTTGGGCAGCGTCTGCGCTTCTTGCGCCCCAGCTTGCTCTGCTCTGTGCCGCCAGCCTGCAAGCTGAGTTGCCGTGAATGCTCGGTGCCCTGCCTTCCGCTTGCCTCGGCCGAGGCGGATGGCGTGGCCTCTAGTTTTCAGGCGAGTCTGCGAGTGTGCCTTGGCACGGGTCAGGCCTTGCGCCCGCAGCGCCAGAGGGAAAGGCCATGGCTTCGGGAGGCTGTATCGAGCGGGGAGCTCCAGACCTTCTTGGATGCGTGGATCATCATCATCATCATCATCATCATCACCATCATCATCATCCAATCATCATCCTCAACATCATCATCATCATCATCATTATCATAATCAGCATCATCATCATCACCATCGGGATAATCAGCATCATCATCATCATCAACATAATAGTCATCATCATCACCATCGGGACACCATCAACATCATCGACATCATCATCAGCAACGTCAACATCATCATCATCATCATCATCGGGACACCAGCATCATCAACATCATCATCACCATCATCAACATCATCATCAACATCATCATCACCGGGACACCATCATCATCAACATCATCAACGTCATCATCATCACCACCATCATCATCACCGTCATCACCATCATCACCTTCATCACTATCATCATCTCATAATCGATTTGACTATCGATCTCACAATCGATCTCACTATCGATATCACAATCGATCTCACTTTCGGTCTCACTATCGATATCACAATCGATCTCACAATCGACGTCATCATCATCATCATCCTCATCATCAACATCAACATCATCATCATCATCATCATCGCCATCATCAACATCATCATCATCACCATCATCATCAGCATCATCATCATCATTACCATCATCATCATCATCATCATCATCATAATCATCATCATAATCATCATCAACATCATCATCGGGACACCGACGGGACACCGACGGGACACCGGCGGGACACCGGCGGGACACCGCGCGCCACCGGCCGCCCGGAAGAGACACATTTGGTCCGGCCGCGCCTCAGCCACAGGGACACCGACGGGACACCAGCGGGACACCGGCGGGACACCGCGCGCCACCGGCCGCCGGGAAGAGACACATTTGGTCCAGCCGTGCCTCAGCCACAGGAGACTTTCTCTCGCCCGCCCACGCAGCTTCGCCTCGCCCGCACGCACGGCGCGCACGAACACGAAACCGAAATCGATTTCCCGGTAGGGGGGCTCTCCGTTCCACTTCGATCTCACACCCTCACCTCCGACCCAAAAAAAATTGCCAGCGTAGAATACAAACAATTTCGTGCACACTCGATGTGTGCCATGTGCGGTGCAGCGTCATGTGGGATGCAATATGTGTAGAGCAACTGCCTATGGGATGTAATATTTGAGATCTGCCCCCATGCTTATCAAGTAAGGTTGAGTAGCCAAGACCAGAATACACCAGCATCAGCGTTCGGGCTGGACCCCCCCCTCCCCACCCCATGAACGGCCGCTTCTGGTGCGCCCCGTGCGCTGGGGAAGGTGAGTGGGGCCCCGTCGCAGGCTCAAGCAATCCGAGCATACATCCGAAGGATTCTGCTTGTGCCGTTTGAAGGCTCGGGCATCTGGATCTGAAATTACAGTTTTCGGCTGATGCATCGATGGATTGCTGATTTTGTCGATCGCACCACGCTCCCGCAGTCGATTCAGCCCTCGGACGGCTGGCATTCTGCTTTGCCAAGCGCCTAAAAAGCTTGAGCAAGCGGCTCTGTAGTACGGCCTTGCTTGATCCTTGACGCTCCATGAGGCGTTCTGCGAGACATGTGCCCTGCTGGGAGGAAGGAAAGTGGAGCGGACCCGCACCTTGGCCCAAGGCTCATACAACGCCCACGCCTCCCTGTGCTGCCCCTGGCAACTGGCCCAGTGCCTGCGATGGTGGGCCGGGACGGCCCTGCGAAGCTGTTCACTTCGGGCCAGGGCGCGCTGCGTGGGGCAGTGGACAACGGCGGCTCTCCGGCCCACGAGAGCCGCCCCAGGGATCCTTCGCACCCGGCCGCGCCGATGTCCCCGCAGCACCCGCCGGCTGCGGTGGCGCCAGAGGCGCCTGGCGCGAGAACGCCCGCGCCGCGGCCGGCCAAGCCCGCCGAGGCCTTGGGGCTGAGGCTGCGGAACGTGACCACCACACAAGGGCGCCGGCGTCGCGTGACCCTGGGGCAGCTCCGGGGCAGCACCGGCGCTCTGCGGGAGGGGCCGCTCTGGGACCTGTCCGCTGAGAGCGGGGGCTGCTGCGCGTGGCCCCTGGCGCACCAGCGGGAGGCGTTCTACGCGGTGAAGGGCTCCTGGATGCTCAAGTTCAGGAGGAGCTCCGACGGCGCCAGGTGCGTGGGGGCCCCGATTCCCCTGGACGGGGCGAGGGTGAGGGCGGTCGGGGACACCGAGTTCGAGGTCACGAACCGCCACGCGAAGGACCATGGGCTCCTCGAAGACCCCCCGCGGGGGCGCATGGGGTCGGGGATTTGGGGGAGGATGGGGCATGCGGCAGGTGGCTGGAAAGAGGGTCTCCTGCAGGAGGACTTCTTGGGCAAAGGCATCTCGGGCTCTGCCAGCGGCACGTTCGTGCACAGCGTGTGCGTGCTTCTGGAGGCACGCAGCCGGGAGGCCCGCGACGGGTGGGTGACAGCGCTGTGCGCACAGGCGGCAGGGGAGATGTTACAACGCCAGCGTCGGATCGATGTGCGAGACTGCGGCCAGGCAGGCCTGGTTAGACGTGTCCACCCATCCTGCCCGACCCACGCCGCGCTTGGGCTGAGGGTCCGCTCGGACGCACAGTGTTGCGACGCCCTCGAGGCTGTCTTTTCCTATGCGAAGAGCGTCCCATGCATAGATTGCGCACCTCGTTGAGTGCGCCGCAGAATGAACGATGCTGCACCGAACCGACTGTGCCGCCTAGGCTGCCACGTAAGTTGCGCCGCGTGGGTTGCACCGCGTTGGTTGCCTCACATGGTTTGCATTGCACGGGGTGCACCACGCACAGTCGGAGCGTTGAAGAAGGAAATCTTTTCGTGTAGGAGAGGCTCGGTGTTCCTTGATTGTTGTGCAAGTTACATTAGGTTTCCCGAAGGTTTCCGTCAGCTGCACCCCCAGTGATCTACACAGGGGCCGCTGCTCGGGGCCACGGAAATTGGCCTGCCGGCGAGTTCCCCACTGGAATTTCTTATCCCCCGATGGTCCCAGGGGCCCACAGAAGCTCTGGGGCGCCTCAGAACCTTCACAGGTCAACAAAGGACACGACTTCTTACCGTGTGCCGCCATCGTTTCCAGCACAGGTTCACATAGCCCCGTCGGGTCACAGGACAAACACCGGATCTCATCAGCCCCGTTTGGGCTCCCGCGGGTTCCCGAGAGGGGTCGCACAACATGCTCGCCAACACGGGGATACGATTGCCACAAAGTGGCAACGCTACAAAACGGACGCGGCTATGCGTCTACTGTGCACAGGGCCACGGCTCTGGGCCCATGCCAGTACAGTCAACCCGCATAGAAAGGATGGGCAGCCTTCCCAAGGGTACCCTTGCATCCGTGCCCCTTCGGCCCATCCTTGGCCACTTTCGCTGGCCGCGCCCCGCTCGAAAAGGCCTCGAAAAGGCCTTCTAGGGCCCTTGCATCCTTTTCGCGCATCCTCATGCTACTGGTTGACTGTATCGGCACCGCAGACGTCGTCGCACGTGCACGCCGCACCCCTCCCGGCAAGGTGGCGAGGCTGCGCGAGCGCCAGGAACGCAGGGCGCTGCTGTCGCGGCGCGACGGCCCCGAGCGCCAGGTGAGCGGCGGAGGAGAGCGGGGCCGCCTGCACCTGGCATTCGCGCGTAAGCTGCTTGTGTGAGTCGGCGGCGAAATCCGACCCCTGCCTTCGCCGGTCAACGATCTCAGGAAACTCGATGGGCGGCGGGGGCGGGGGGTGGGGTTCGGAATTCGTCGAGCACGTGGCGAAATCCGAAGCCTACCCCCGCCCCTCGTCGGTGCGGGAGAACCGATGGCGTGTGGGGGTAAGGTTCGAGTGCCGCCACCTAGTATTCGGCGAGCGAAGAACGATATAAAATAAACTGTTTCGCTGTCGGGGGCGCCTGTCCCCGGGCGGCTGGAAAGTTTCTACCCCTACGGTGCCACCGTAAGGGTATAAACTTTCCAGCCGCCCGGGGACAGGCGCCCCCGACAGCGAAACAGATTATTTTATACCGCTCTTCGCCCGTTAAAGTATGGCCGCGCGCGAGCGCCCTCTTCTCCAGGCGGTGTGCCACGTTGGCGGGCCGCGTAAGCCGCGGCGTAGGGCCGCCATGGAGTAGCAGGGCAGCGTCCTCGTCGCCGCTCAGGTGTCGGACCGGACGGTGGCCACCGCGGCGGCCATCGACGGCCTGGCGTCCAGGCTGTTCGTCGAGTTCGAGGAGGACGAGGAGCCTGGAGGTTTTTTTCCAACCTCTTCGAGTTTGAAAAACACAGGGCAGGAGGCGACACCCCTTTGTTTTTGACCAAGCCTGCAACGCGTTGGGAAGCAGGAGGTCGGGGAGACGCGGGAGACCGCGACTCCAACCCCCGCCCACACCATACAGACCTTGCTGTACGGAGAAAGTGTGTGGGGGGAGGGGGGGCCAGAGCGCAAAATTTCATGGGGAGATGGGCGCAGGGGGTGGGATTCATTGATCCCCAATCGCCCTTTCGTCGTCGCCGACGGGCACCTGCAGCGCCACCTCGCCCAGGCACGTGCGGATCCGCTATGGGGGGTACACCGCCGATCCATCAGCGATGCATCGCCGATTCCAGCTCGATGCTTCTCCCCCTGAGCGGGTCCGCCTTTATCGCTCCGTATCAGGAGTTTGCGGCGCTGGGATTGGGATGGCCCGACCTGGTGTCAGCCGTTCCGTGGGGGCCTTGTTTGTATTAGTAGCCAGCTGGCGTCGGCTTGTCCAGGCCTCGTCCCTCCATGCATTCCTCGTCTTCTGTTCGCTTGCTCCCCTCCATCCTCTCGCCTTGTCGCCAACTTGGGCTCGCGAGTGAAGTTTCAGGCCACATGCGCTTGACCCGCCCCAAGTAGGAGCCCTCAGAGGCGAAGGTGGCCTCGCTGACGCATTCGAATTCACACGACGCGCGTGCCTTTACAGCCGGCGCGCCTCTTTCGAAGCGTGCACCCGCTGGTCACACAAAGCAGTGGCACCCGCGAGCGCTAGACGTCTGCAGTGTTGGCATTGCAGCGTGGACCCTAGTGCTCGGCCCGGAGGCGCGGCGTGCCAGTCCGCGCACAGCGACGTGCCAGACACCGTGCGCTCCGTGCAGCGGCGCGACACGCGCTTTCACAGTGCTCCCGCGGATTTCCTCCACCGGTCCGCCTGCCAGGATCCCTGACGCGGCGACCCTTCGGGCCCCCCCCCCACCTCTGCTCGCCCCCGTCTTTACACGCTGCTCATTGCTAATTCTTCGAGAGTTCCTTGATTTTTGGGAGCCAAGATCCTTCCATTTCTAATTCTTCCATCCTGGGCCTCTTCCTGGCCACTGAGGGGGCCGGGAACAGTTAGAAACGAGCACAATCAGAAATGACCACGATTGGAAATGAGCGACGTGTACGCCTGGTGGTGGCCCCGTCTGGCCGCCCTTCGCGATGCCGAGCTCTCTGCCCCTGCCCCTCGCCGTCCTCCGCCGCTCGTGCTCGTCGGCCCCGCCGGCGCTCGGCACGCCGTGCCCCCCGCGGCGCGCCCCGCGGGCCTCTCCTCGCGCGGCTCTCCCCTCCCCTCTCCCCCCCCCCCCCTCCCCTCGCGCCGCCTGGGCCCTGCCCCCCTCCCCCCCTGCCCCGCTCCCTCCGCTCTTTACGCTCTCCCCCTCCCTCTCCCCTCCCTCGCACTGCCTTGGCCCTGCCCCCTCTGCCCCCTGCCCCGCTCCCCGCGGCTCCTCGCAGGGCGGGGAGGTGATGGGCCTGTTTTCCACCACCACCACCACCAGAAGTTGGAAGGGGGGATGGAGGAGGACGGGGAGGAGGAGGAGGAGGAGGACGAGGAGGAGGAGGAGGAGGAGGAGGAGGAGGAGGAGGACCACCTCCCCCTCCAGCTTACGGTGGTGGTGGTGGAAAGCAGGCCCATCAGGGGGGGCAACCTCCCACGGGGCACGCCCCTGCAGAATCGCCCGCAGGCGCTGCCTGCAGGCGCTGCCCCGCCCTGCCGCGGCCGGGCGTGCTGCCCCGGGAGTCCGAGGCCGAGGGCGCGCGAGGGGAGAAGGGATCGTGCCGGGAAGATGGGGAGGGGAAAGAGGAAGACGAGGAGGAGCCGCAGGAGGAAGAGATGGAGGAGGAGGAGGAGGAGGAGGAGGAGGAGGAGGAGGAGGAGGAAGGCGAGGAGGAGCGGATGGATGAGGAGGAAGACGAGAAGGAAGAGGAGGCGGGGAGGAGGAGGAGGGGAGGAGGAGAGGAGGAGGAGGAGGAGGAAGAGAGGAGGAGAGGATGGAGGAGGAGGAGGAGGAAGGAGGAGGAGGAGGAGGAGGAGGAGGAGGAGGGAGGAGGAGGAGGAGGAGGGGGGAGGGGGAGGGGGAGGGGGAGGGGGAGGGGAGGGGGAGGGGGAGGGGGGGGGGAGGAGCGTCGGCGGCGAGCGAGGGGAGGAGGGGGAAGTAGCAAGGAGGAGGCCTTCTCAGAAGTCGGCGGGGCGTCTCAGAAGTCCACTGGCCTTCTGGGAGGTGTTTCTGTGCCGCCTGGGACGGCTCAGGCAACTTCTCGGAGTGCCAGAGGACTTCTGAGCCTTCTGAGCAGGCCCGCCTCTTCTCGCTTCCCCCCGGGCTCGCCGCCGAAAGTAGGAAGGTGAGGGAGGGCCAGAAGGAGGAGGAGGGTGGAGGAGGAGGAGGAGGAGGAGGAGGAGGAGGAGGAGGAGGAGGAGGAGGAGGAGGAGGAGGAGGAGGAGGAGGAGGGGGGGCGGCGACGACGAAGACGTCGACGACGGCGAGGGTTCAGGCCGATCAGGAGCAGGAGGGCGATGGTGACTCAGAGGAGGCGCGACAGTCTTTGGTGCCACCCTGGTTGGACAACTACATTTGTTGGTATTGGGCTTCGGCGACTTACCAACTTTTATCAAAAGCCCCACCCATGATTATATTGAAGCTGGAAACGCATGACTTGGCTGGCTTGGGCAAGAGTTGGATACACATGTTGCCACAAGTGGCGCTCCAGAAAGGACCTCCTCTTCGAGGGACCGAGAACTTGACATCTCATCCTCTGCGAAAAGTGGCGGAAGGATGGCGGAAGCACAACGAATGCGGGCATTGTGGCGGAAGCCGGCGGAAGTAAGAGAAGCCGGCGGAAGTAGAATATGCCCAGAGGGTTCAGGGGTTCTTTCCAGCCTTCGGCCATCATGTGACCGTGCACCCCGGCTCTCCGAGTGTGTTTTCAGCTTCCACAGACGTCGCAAGTAAATCCGGCCATGTGTGCGTGAGTAATCCCAACTTCCTGGTGGTGGCGCGGGCAGAGAGGATTGCTAGGGCTCCAAGGGAAGACGGAACCCGGGCCACCCCTCCGATTCGATGGGTTCGCATCGATCCAGTGCGGAGTGCGTTCGGCTTCGGTGCGACGTCGTCTGGCAGCCTCGGTGCCATCGCTCGGCTGGGACATCCTGGCCAGTGTTGCAAGCAGTGAGCGCTTGAAACGTGCGTGGTGCTCCAGCCTCGCGGGCACGGGGAACGGGTCGGGAAGCGGAGGTGCAGGGGCGAGGCATGGGAAGATACGCGCTCGGGCGAGGATCTGGCTCCAAGCCGCCGCGCCAGCGCGAGCAGCGCGCTCACGCGGCGCCCCCCCCGCGCGCGGCGCGCGGCGGCCCGCCGGCGGGCGATGCCGAGGCGGCCAGGCGGGGCGGAGCCGCGAGGCGCTCCCGCCGCGGCCCGCGGCCCCGGGGCCGCCGCAGCGACGGCCGCGGAGGCTGCCGCGGCAACCGGCTGCGGGCAGCTCGCTCTGGACGAGGCGCTCGCCGACCTGGGCGCGGGCCGCCGGGCGTGGCGCCGGGTGCGGGCGGAGCTCCGCCTGGAGGACGACCTGCTGTCGTCCTTGGCCGCCGTCTGGCGGCGCGACGCGCGGCGCGTCGAGACCGCGCTGGCGCGCCTGCTGACGCCAGCGGCGGCCCGAGCCGCCGCGGAGCGGGTGGCGGTCGCCGTGGAGGCGAGCGCCGCGCCCGAAGCGACCCGGGCGTCCGCCGAGGCCGCGCCCCGCGCGGCCGGCGGCGCGGCGGCGCCCGCGGCCGCGGGCGCCACGGCGGCGGGGACGGCGCGGGATCGGCGCGTCGGGGCTGGTGCGCGGCTGCTGGCGCTGCCGGACGCGCAGCTGCTTCAGGCGCTCGGCTTCTGCGCGTCCGCGGCGCCGCTGTCCGCGCTCGCCGCCGCTGGGAGCGCGGCGCGGGTGCTCGCCCTCACGGACTGCCTGTGGGCCCCCGTCTGGCGCGGCTGCGTCAGGACGCCCGCCCCAGCCGCAGGCGTGCACGCACGGCTGCTGTCTCACCTGGCCTCGCGGTGCGCCGAGTGCGGCGAGCCGACTGCGTTCGAGCACGCGATCCTGGGCTGCCGGCTTTGCCAGCGGTGCGAGCTGAGCTGCCCGCGCTACGCGCTGGTGCGCGCGGACACGGCGACGGCGGTTTACCAGCTCCCGAGGGCCGCGCTCGAGCCCCTGCGGCACTTCGGCGGCGTCACGGGCCGCGTCTACCTGCGTTGCCAGGTGGAGGACGCGGCGGCTGGGCGCTACTCCCAGGAGGGCCTGCGTCACCTCCGCGCAAAGAGCGACGTCGGACTCGCCGCGTCCGGGCGGCAGCGGCGCGCGAGGCAGCGCCCCCGGGGCGGCAGTGGGGCGGGCGGCGGCGGCGGCGGCTGGAGGCGCGACGCGGACCCGTGTTGTTTTGAGGCAACCGCGCTCAGGCTCGCCGATCCGATGGCGTGAGTCGAGCAGCTGGCAGAGCGTCCTGGCTTGCCAATAAGGCCAACCAAGAATATGCTAATAACGATTTGCTGCTTGCACGGAATTGTTGTAGAACATTTGGAGAGACGTCCTGTTCTGACACACCGGCTTTTGTTAACAAGAGCATTGCTTTATTGATAGAACATTATGTTGTTCTAAGAGCTTGTCGTCACAGGCCAGTAGGAGTGCCGGGACGATCGATCCCTGCTCAAGTGAGGGGTCGCGTCTTTGTGCCATCCCCTTCCGCCGTTCCTGCTTGCTTCCCCCCCCCCTCTATGCCCCTCTTTCGTCAGATGCTTGATTCGCGGGGGTTAGAGACTCATATGGAGCACACCTAAGAGAGCTGTCAAATTTCAGTTTGACTCTAGTTCGAATCAAGTTCGGCTCACGTCGACGGACGCCTCACGCAGCGTCGACGCTTTTTTTGAGCGAGTGGCTCCAAGAGAGAAAGGTCCCCAGAACGAGCATCTATCTTTCGCCGGCGCTGCGCAACGGCTTGCTGACCCCGCCGTCTGGCGTCCTTCCGCCGTTCCGTGCAGCGCCTATTTTTTCCCCCCACTGCCCGCTCGCGGCGAGGCTGGCTCGCGCGCACTCGGCCGTGGAGGGCGCGTGATCGCTCGCCGGCACCTGCATGGCGAGCGGCAGCATGCACACTGCACCCAGCCGAGAGGCCGTCGTGCGGGTCAAAGGAGTACCGGCTGCGCGTGAGAGCGGCCCTTTGCCGGCGTGACCTCTGGCGTGCGCCCCACAGGGGTTCCGCCCCCCAGCACGGGCCCGTGCGCTTGGCTTGGATTGGGCCCCTTTTGGCCCCCCAGAGCCGCGCACCGGAGGTAACCCTTGCCAGGGACCCAAGGGCAAGACGTTGCGTGCAGCCGGAGGCAGATGTGCTGGGGTGATCACGCGGATTGCAACAAGCGAGCAGATGTCGGCTCCCGCACTCACACACCGCAAGCCCATCGTGTATCCACGCAGGCCCAGACTCAGTACATTTGCGCCCCGTCGGGACACCAACGGGGGCGAAATCGAAGCTCAGTCCAGACACGTCCGAGCACCGATCGTACTTTTATCGGAGCACCCTCAGGGCGCAACTGAACTCCAGTCGGGACAACATCGTGGCGCCATCGAGACTGCATCAAAACAGAATCGAGATACTGTTGGGCCTTCCTCGGGCCGCACAGCCGCGGTGCCCGCCTGCAGCAGCAACCTCTTGCTGCAGTATCATACTCCGGAGTCTCGCCCCCGCTGCGCGTGTTCTCTTCACTTCCCCAACCCTGCTGTGTTGGGCACACGCTCTACGGCATTGGCTCTCGTGGCTTCCTCCTTTTTTCCTCCCGTCTCCGCCCCTCCTCGCTGCCTCCCCCCCTTCCTCCGTAGACACGCTAATGGCGATGCAGGCATCGGCACGGAAGGTTTCGGTCTTACAGGAACGCGTGGCTCCAGCTTTCCGGCAGCTCGACGTGTCGTTCTCGCTCGATCCACTCGCAGATTGGAAAGATAGGAAAGGGTGGTTCGAGACGTCCTCCAAGTTGGTTCC